GTAAAAAAAAAAAATATATATATATATATATATATATATATATATATATATATATATATATATATATATATATATATACCACTGTTTTTGTTTGCTAGTAGGGTTTTTTTTCTATCGTACCTGTCATTTAAGTGGATTTGGTAATGAGGATTGTAACTGCTTAAATTGTATCTAATTGACGCCTCGACCAAATTTTTTTGTCTAACATTATCCGCAATCAGTTTTATGCATTTATCCTCTAAAGAATGATATACAGCTGACCAAAACCTCTCCTATACACTCTACTAAACCCCACTTTACACTGGATGGTGTCCTTTCTGCGTCCGCACAAAGAACGGAGGATGGTCGCTGCAAGGTCGCTCAAGGTACACAGAGAGGGCGCATTGCTGTGGTCGCAACAAGGAGGCACAGGCATCGCCGTGTTTACAGAATGAACACTCGATGATCGGCCAGTACTTGACATGTAAAATATTATTTCTTTTTGTTTAAATCTCAAACGGGACATCTGAGGCTAACAGTTACTAGTGGTCTAATACCAGCCTCCAACTGGTATTTTTTTAAATTCCTAAACCGATCCATTTTTGGAGGTAATTTTAGAATGAACATTTGTTTCTTTTAAAGATGCAGTTCTTGTCGCAGTTTTTGCAGAATTCGTCTGTTGAAAATGGATTCCAACATTCTGTGTTGTGTCAGTCGGCCTTTTTCGTCTTGAGCACCTCTCCATCCTTCTTAAAAGGCCAACAATGGTCATCTGGCTTTTTATCAGTCCATGCAGAACTTGCATTACTGTAGTTAAAAAAAGTGTATTCCTAATTATTTGTTTTGTTTTCTGGAGATGTTCTTGATTGGACAGCCGGGTTACTACTGATGGAAAAATATAAATGTAGAATATATCGAAAGACGCCCAAACAACGCTCATCTGTCTAGCAGGAGGCAGAAAGGTCGTAGAATGGTCACCAGTGGTCGCCAATGATGATACAGAGAACGCAACGGGGATGCTCAATCGTCGTTCAAACATCAGGCCTACCCAACTACCAGACTCGGCACTAAATGATCCCGAATTCATCGGTAGATTGGACCACACTACCCGTTTTCATGGTGTGTGTCAGTACGTATTTCACAGTATCATACCCCGGAACAAATTTTGAGATGAGATGCACTACTTTCCAACCCAGCTGAGAATCATCACTATCATGTTGTGTACTAGGCAAGAGCGGTGTCGAATCTGATACTTCGAAGCGCGTACTGACGCACACCTTGAAAACAGGTAGTGTGGTCCTATATACCGGTGAATTCAGGACCATTCGGTGCCGAGTGAATGTGCCCAGTTAATGAATATTTCTTCGTTTGTCTACTCTTTCAATTTTAATATCTGTCATTACGACATTTCTTTATTATATTTGTTTTACAGGATATGACACTTACATGACATTCTCTTTAATTTCAGGCAATACTTAGCATTATTATAGTTTATTTCAGTTTAGGGGTTCCTCAACTTACTGCTTTTATCATTTCAGATGATGCATCATAATTCTGTTCATAAGAATACCTGTTCTATTTCACCCACTACCTCCTTGCAATGTCAAACACCGTTGACAGTGCATATGTGCTTTGAAAGTGACAAGCAGTGATTAAGATTATGATAAACCAAACTAACTGGAGATCTTTTGGTTCAAATCCTTTTTCAACTTGCAGAGCATGCATTTTGTGAACTGCTTCTTGATAAATCGCCTAAATGAAAGTCCTAATCACTAGCATCTCAACATTCTTCTTCAAAATGATCTTGTCACTTGATAGTGTGGTTACATTGGCAATCAAAGTTTCAGTAGTACAGATGGCAAAATGGTAGATGTTTTTAAGTAAATATATCTTGATATGGCTTAAGGAATTATGTAATAAGGATGCGCCAACAGTTCTTAGTTATATATGTTTTCGGGGTGGAGAGTCAGGCCTACCCAACTACCAGGCTTGGCACCGAATGATCCCGATTTCGCTGGTATATATCGGACCACACTGCCCGTTTTCAAGGTGTGCGTCACAGTATCATACCCCGGAACAAATTCTGAGATGAGATGCATTAATTTTCAACCCCGCTCAGAATCATCGCTACCACATAGCGTACTAGGCAAGAGCGGTGTCGCATCTGATACTTGCGCCAAGCGCGTACTGACGCACACCTTGAAATTGGGTAGCGTGGTCCGATTTGCACAGGGGGCGCAGACTCATTTATACTGAGACACAATTGCCTTGGCGACCGCTGAGCGTCGTGACCTCATTTTTGATCGTAGAAAGAACGCGGAAAGGATGCCGTCCAGTGTAAAGGGGTCTTTAATAAGATTAGTAGATTAGATATGAAGAAAGAAAGACCATCCATGATAATCGTAATCAGAAGTCAAACACACTCTCCCGCCTGTTTGACTTTAGAGGTCGACAATATACATTTGTTACGTTCGTTTCTGCAGTTGGCGATTTTTAAAATAATAATAAATTTTACTTGCATGTATTAAAACTGTGCCAGCATATCACGTTTTCCCGTGCGCATGCAGGTATACCAATACTTAATCTGCATTTGCATGTGCTGAAAATTATTTCAGGCTCCAATAGATTACCCTCTGCTAACTGGCTCAGACCACTGGAGACGGAAGAAACGCACGGTTTTCAGGCGCATGGACACCAATGGAGACGGTTTCATTACAAAGGAAGACTTCGAAACAAGTGCCAGACGAGTTGCCGAGTATCTGAAGCTTAATGGTAATTGTAATATTAATGGTAATGCTAAAATCCAGTTGCATGTAGGACCCATCAGGGTATTTATTATTTAAGTTATGTTTTCTTTTGTATATATATATATATAGCTCTTATCTTATCTTATCCTATATCTTCTTCTCCTCTCTCTTATTCACGCTACGACTCTCTCTGTCTGTCTCTCACTCACACGTAAACAAGTACACTCAGAGAGAGAGAGAGAGAGAGAGAGAGAGAGAGACGCACACACGAACCCACACACACACACACCCTAGGCGGTTACGTAAATCTGAAAACTTCTCTCCCGACTTACAGATGTACAAGCAGAACATATTCTAAATCAACGTCTTGCAATATGGGAACTCGTTTCTAATGCAACACAAGATACAACCAAGGTATCAGAGGAAGAATTCGTTGGCTCATCAGTACCGATAGTGAACCAAAGCTACTACCGACAAGACTTTCTACCCATGTGGGTATCCGTGGAATTTAATACAACGGACATTGACGGGGATGGTCTTATTTCAAAGGAAGAGCACAAGGCTTTTTTCTACAGTGTTAACGTCCCTGTGGAAGAGTCGAAAAATGTCTTTGATGCTATGGACAGCAACAAAGATGGCTTCATATGCATTGAAGAATTTGCGCATGCATCTGCTGAGTTCTTTCTTACTGAGGAGCCAGACAATCCATTCAATGAATTTTTCGGTCCACTGGTTGATTAGGAACTTGTAGTTTGATTTAACGAAGATATATTAAATTGCCTATTTGTCATGATCACTTGAGAGACAGAGAAAGAGAGCATGTGTTGCTTTCATTTCATTTAATAGTTTAATACCCATCTACTGTGTACAACCATAATGTTTCTAGGATTTGAAATGTGCCATAAGGCAATTTGCAATTGAGTAACTTCCAGATTAATATTTCAAAGTATCTCTGAAGCTAGTGAGCTTGTATTAATGTTCAAATAAAGGAGATGGGAATTTACGCAATCTTTTTTAGTTGACTGACTACTGCTACTGAATATCATGCCCATATTCTAGGTACATGTACATATACTGGTACCGGTATGGAGCTTCTACATGTACCTGTACCTCCATAACTTTCAGCTTCTCCTCTTTTGTAAAGTTACCCTATTGCGTTGAAATACTACAATGTTTTATTGCGAAAGTCAGAAATGTGTAATTTTTAACCAATAAAAAATCACACCCGCTGTGTGCTTTTGTGCCATTAATTGAAGAACTTCTATCAATTAAGATTTTTCCTGTGATTTTCAGCAAGTCCTGGACTATCTTTATTGATTATAAAAAGATCGTGCAACCATACTATATGAGTTGCCAAACTAGTTTCTGTGTTAAACTACCCTCTTATTTTGGTCAACTGCATCGCTGAACACCCTTTGTTGAAAAGATTGCTGCCAGCTGCCTCATGCACGTTCACTTAAACATTTTTTCAGCCCACTAAAACTATCTGTTACTTAAAGCCTCGTTCACAACTGGACGCACGAATTTTAGGATTGTATGTCCCCTACGAATTTTGAGTGCAGCGGAGGCCGTGGAGTTCGTAGAGGTTAAAGAAACGTTTAAATGGAAAGATTAAAAAATGTATTGATTACTTGTACATGATTTACTGTAATGAGTTCTTTGCCTGTGTAGCATTTCATTTTTCTTTAATATATTAGCTTAAAGTTAACACTGACAACAAACTGTTGATATGGTTTTCTGGAGGTGTTTTTTTTTCTTTTGAATGACTTTTTATTTCAGATTTCATATTATTGACTAAAATACCTCACAACAGAAGACTGGATATTTGTGTCACTCGATGACAGACTTTTTTGATGAATAAAGCCAAAAAGATTTTTCTTTGCACTAAAAATAACAATGATAAAAAACTCCATATTAAGTATTAATTCTGTGCATGCATTCACTCATACAAGCATGGGCATCCGCAGGGGGGTCAACGAGGTCACTTGACCCCCCCCCCCCCGGAATTTTGAAACTGCATTTTTATTGTGGGTAACCAGCCAATCATTATCTCCCCCTTCAATGACTTTGAACCCCCCCCCCTGGAAAATTGTCTGCGGCCGCNTTGAAACTGCATTTTTTTGGGGGGTAACCAGCCAATCATTATCTCCCCCTTCAATGACTTTGACCCCCCCCCCCCCCGGGAAATTTTCTGCAGACGCCCATGCATACAAGGGGTATCATAAAGATGCAAAACGGCCAACAACCTCACTGTATAGCAAAAATTGACAGTATAAATGATAGTGAAAATGACAAAAGCATGCACTGTAAATTTAGTCCAAAGTCAAGAATCGACCATTTACCTTCTTGTGCTTGGATTGTTTTGGTTGTTTGTGGCAAAAACGTTTTTGGGGAAAAAATTGAATGATAACACCTTTTTCGTGTAAGGGTAGTCTTGAAATGTGCTGCGAACAGCACAATAGTACTTTTGATGTATAAAGACATGGATTCAAATTTTGCAATAAATACGTTTAAGGTGTTTATTTTCCCATCAACTTTAAAAAAAACTGCTAGAATACTAACTTGCAGGTATCATTTTGGTGTGCATTACGGTTTCAAAAGTTGCCGAAAAATGTGAAAAGATTCCGTGATTGACTGTGTGAGAAAAAAATAAAAAAATAAATGAATAAATAAATTGTCGCAGCAGCTGTGTAGTTTTTGCTGGTCACTGTAATTAGTGAAGTGTAAATCTGTAAATTTACCTTCTACCACTGCCGCAGATTAATCAGATTAACTACGTGCACTTTTCTTCAGAGCGAGAGCAGAGAATCGTGTCATGAGTTAGCCAGAGATACATCTGTGTATGCTTGGAGGAAAACCAGTCTTTTGACCCTGGGAGAGGATAATATACAGCAAGACAAGGATGATTGCTTTGTTTTTGTTGAGATAATACGATGTAATATATATATATATATGTCCCTGAGATAAATAATGCTTACAAAACCAGTTCTTCTGTTCAACATGACCTTCGCTCCAACGCATATTTTGGAGGTTTGCATCAGTGAACACCCTTAGATAAATGATTCATTGGTAGTTGTCTCGCGTTTACTTTACATTATATAGTGCAGTTTGTACAGTCTAAGTAAGATAGGAGGAGTTTTACAACATCGGTGTGAAGTTAAAAATTGTTTTCTGTCACGGTGGTCATCATGTCTAAGATTTTCCAGGCTAGTAAAGGGTTACTAAAAATAACGCAGTCATGTCGAGGATTAGCAAGGGTGACCCCAGGGAGGCAGGGATTACGGGAAATTTTGCAGCCAGGGTCGAGTCGGGCATTAGCAAGGGTTATCCCAGCTAGCCGCAGATTAGGGACAATTGTGCATGGACTTTTAACGGAATCTCCAATTCTTCAACCTGTCCGGAAACTGGCAAACCAACCAGTGCGCTTTAAAAAAGTAAGTAGGCTGAACCAATTCAAGACAGACGTGAAAAATGTTTCTGTTTGCAAGTAGGCGTTTTTATATCGTGCATGTAAATTCTGGTGATGAGGATACATGTAGTAACTACCAATGCTCAAATTGTGGCTCACTGGTGCCACGGCTGAACTGTTACCTTTTAGTGTAATATTATATCTGCATATCACGTTTTTCCCGTGCGCATGCAGATAGACCAATACTTAATTTGCATTGCTAAATATCATTTGCATGTGCTAAAAATATTTCAGGCTCCAATAGATTACCCCCCGGTAACTGGATCAGACCACTGGAGACGCAAGTTGCGCACGATTTTCAAGTGTCTGGACAGCAATGGAGACGGTTTTATTACGAAGGAAGACTTCGAGACAAGTGCCAGACGAGTTGCCGAGTATCTTGAACTTAATGGTAATTGTAATATTAATGGTAATGTTAAAATACAACCACGTGTATTTGTACATATAGGACCCATCTGGGTATAAATTATATAAGTTGTTTTTTCTTTTCCTACTCTAAGCAGTTTTATGCTGTAAAAACCCGGTTCATAACACAGTTTCTTTCTCTCCTCTCTCTTTCTCACATTAGGTCTCTCTCTCCCTATCTCTCCCTCTCTCTTTCTCTCTCTCTCTCTCTCTCACACACACAAACACACACGATGGACAATTATGTAAATCTGATAAATCTGAAAACTTCCCTCACGTTTTGCAGATGAACAAGCAGGACATATTCTAAATCAACGTCTTGCAATATGGGACCTCATTTATAATGCTTCACAAAATACATTCAAGATGACAGAGGAAGAATACGTTGGCTCCTGCTGTCTATCCATAATTAACCAAAGCAGCCACCGACAGGAGTTTTTCCACATGATGGTATCTGTGGATTTTTAAGCCATGGACATTGACGGGGATGGTCTTATTTCAAAGGAAGAGCACAAGGCTTTTTTCCACAGTGTTAACGTCCCTGTGGTAGAGTCGAAAAATGTCTTTGATGCTATGGACAGCGACAAAGATGGCTTCATATGCATTGAAGAATTCGCGCATGCGTATGCTGAGTTCTTTCTTACTGAGGAGCCAGACAACTCGTTCAATGAATTTTTCGGTCCACTGGTTGATTAGGAACTCGTCGTTTGAGTTAACGAAGGTATATAAAATTGTTTATTTGTCATGATCACTTGAGAGAAAGAGAGAATGTGTTGCTTTCGTTTCATGCAATACCGGTATTTTAAAACCCACCTTACTTTTTTAACAATAAAGTTTGTAGGAATTGAAATGTGGCATAAAGCAATTTGCAATTGAGTAACTCTCAGATTAATATTCCAGAAGTATTTCCGAAGCTAGTGGGCTTGTTTTAATGTTCACATAAAGGAGATGGGAATGTATGCAATTTTTTTTTTATTTGGCTGACTACTGTACCATATCCCGGTCGAGTACATAACGGTTTAGAGCTTCACCTTCATAACTTTCAGCTTCTCCTCTTTTGTAATGTAACCACTATAGCGTTGAAATACTACATTACTTAGAGAATTAGGACTTAACTTCATCTACCAGCTGGTCCTAGATACAGATTGGGGATAATAGTATAGCTGCACACACAGCATAAGTAATAGAGTATTGAGCAGCTTTTTTTTAGTTTCTTTATTTTTTCTTTTCTTTTTTTTATTGCGAGTGTCAGAAATGTGTTATTTTAATCAATAAAAAAATCACTGTGTGTACTTTTGTGCCATTAATTGAAAAACTTCTATCAATTAAAAATATTCTTGCGATTTTCAGCAAGTCCTGGACTATCTTTATTTATTATAAAAATATCGTGCAACCATACTATATGAGTTGCCAACTAGTTTCTGTGTTAAACTACCCTCTTATTTTGGTTTACTGCATCGCTGAACACCCTTTGTTGAAAAGATTGCTGCCAGCTGCCTCATGCACGTTCACTTAAACATTTTTTCAGCCCACTATAACTAACACTCGATGACAGACTTTTTTGATGAATAAAGCCAAAAAGATTTTTATTGCACTAAAAATAACAATGATAAAAAATACTCCATATTAAGTATTAATTCTGTGCATGCATTCACTCATACAAGCATGGGCATCCGCAGGGGGGTCAACGAGGTCACTTGACCCCCCCCCCCCCGGAATTTTGAAACTGCATTTTTATTGTGGGTAACCAGCCAATCATTACCTCCCCCTTCAATAAATTTGACCCCCCCTGGGAAATTTTCTGTGGACGCCCATGCATATAAGGGGTATCATAAAGATGCAAAACCGCCAACAACCACGCTGAGTAGGAAAAATTGACAGTATAAATGATAGTGAAAATGACAAAAGCATGCGCTGTAAATTTAGTCCAAAGTCAAGGATCGACCATTTACCTTCTTGTGCCTGGATTGTTTTGGTCGTTTGTGGCAAAAACGTTTTTGGGGGAAAAAATTGAATGATAACACCTTTTTCGTGCATGGGTAGTCTTGAAATGTGCTGCGAACAGCACAAAAGTACTTTTGATGTTTAAAGACATGGATTCAAATTTTGCAATAAATAGGTGTTTATTTTCCCATCAACTTTAAAAAAACTGCTAGAATACTAACTTGCAGGTATCATTTTGCTGTGCATTACGGTTTCAAAAGTTGCCGAAAAATGTGACAAGATTCCGTGATTGTCTGTGAGAGAAAAAAATAAAAAAAATAAATAAATGAATAAATAAATTGTAGCAGCAGCTGTGTAGTTTTTGCTGGTCACTGTAATTAGTGAGGTGTAAATCATGATGTAGTGCTACCTTCTACCACTGCCGCAGATTAATCAGATTAACTACGTACACTTTTCTCCAGAGCGAGAGCAGAGAGTCGTTCCATGAGTTAGCCAGAGATACATCTGTATATGTTTGGAGGAAAATCAGTCTTTAACCCTGGGAGAGGATAATATACAGCAAGTCAAGGATGATTGCCTTGTTTATGTTGAGATAATACGAGGTAATATATACATGTCCCTGCCATAAATAATGCTTACCAAACCAGTTCTTCTGTTCAACATGACCTTCGCTCTTACCCATATTTTAGGGGATTGCATCAGTGAACACCCTTAGATAAATGTACAATTGGTAGTTGTCTCACGTTCACTTTACATCATATCCACGTAGTACAGTTAGTACAGTCTAAGATAGGAAGAGTTTTACGGCATCGGCGTGAAGTTAAAAATTGTTTTCTGTCACGATGGTCATCATGTCTAAGATTTTCCAGGCTAGTAAAGGGTTACTAAAAATAACGCAGTCATGTCGAGGATTAGCAAGGGTGACCCCAGGAAGGCAGGGATTAAGGGAAATTGTGCAACCGGGGTCGTGTCGGGGATTAGCAAGGGTTATACCAGATAGCCACAGATTAGGGAAAATTGTGCATGGATTTTCTCCGGAATACGCACCATGCCGTCAACCCGTCCGGGAATTGGCAAACCAGCCAGCGCGCTTTAAAAAAGTAAGTAGACTGAACCAAATAAAGACAGGAGTGTAAATATATTTATTCACACGGTCTTTGTTTGCAAGTAGGCGTTTTTTTTTTTTTTTTTTTTTTTTCATTTAGTACATGTTATTCAAGAAAATTCTTGTGATGAAGATACATGTAGCTACTACTCTAATTGTGTCTAACTGGCGCCTCGACCAAACTGTTATCTTGTAGTGTAACATTACCTGCATATTGTTTTCATGCATTTAGGCTCTCAATAATGGTATACAGCTGACCAAAACTTCTCGTTTTAGTAAGTTTAGTATAGATAAAATATGAAATAAGAAAGACCATACATGATAATAAATAAACAAGGCTCAAACACACCCTTCCACCTGTTTGTTTTTAGAGGTCTTCAATATCCATTTGCTACGTTCGTTTCTGCAGTTGGCAATTGAATACTACTAAAATTTACTTACATGTACTAAAGCTGGTTTCACAATGATCCTATCTGCATGTCACGTTTTCCCCGTGCGCATGCAGATATACCAATACTTAATTTGCATTGCTAAATATCATTTGCATGTCCTGAAAAATATTTCAGGCTCCAGTGGACTACCCCCCGCTAACTGGATCAGACCACTGTAGACGCAAGTTGCGCACGATTTTCAAGTGCATGGACAGCAATGGAGACGGTTTCATTACGAAGGAAGACTTCGAGACAAGTGCCAGACGAGTTGCCGAGTATCTGAAACTTAATGGTAATATTAATAATAATGTTATATTAAAACTACATGTACATGTACATGTAGAACCCGGCCATAATACAAGTTGTTTTTCTTTTGTTACTCTGAACACAACTTGATGCTGTAAATAACCCGGTTTATATTCACTGTTTCCTTCTCTCCTGTTTCTTTTTTGACGCTAGGTTTCTCTCTCTCTCTCTCTCTCTCTCTCTCTCTCTCTCTCTCTCACACACACACACACACACACACACGTGCACACAAACACACACGATGGACGGTTATGTAAATCTGAAAACTTCCCTCGCGTTTTGCAGATGAACAAGCAGAACATATTCTAAAACAACGTCTTGCAATATGGGAACTCATGTCTAAGGCAACACAAGATACACCCAAGGTGTCAGAGGAAGAATACGTTGGTTTAGCGGTATCGGTAAGGAACCAAAGCGGCTACCGACAAGAGTTTTTCCCCATGCTGGTATCCGTGGAATTTAATGCAATGGACATTGACGGGGATGGTATTATTTCAAAGGAAGAACACAAGGCTTTTTTCTACAGTATAAACGTCCCCGTGGAAGAGTCGAAAAAATGTCTTTGATTCTATGGACATTGACAAAGATGGCTTCGTATGCATTGAAGAATTCGCGCACGCGTATGCCGAGTTCTTTTTAACTGAGGACCCGCATAACTCTTACAATGAATTTTTCGGTCCACTGGTTGATTAAGAGTTTGTGCTCAGATTTCGAGTTTGACTCAACAAAGATATACATGTATTAAATTGCCTATTTGTTATGATCACTCGAGAGAGACGAAGAGAGCATGTGTTGCTTTTATTTCATGTAATAGTTTAATACCCATTCTGATTTGAAATATGACATGAAACAATTTGCAATTGAGTAACTTCCAGATTAATATTCGAAAAGTATTTCCCTACCTAGTGAGCTTACTTAATGTACGTATAAAAGAGATGGGAATGTATGCAACTTTTTTTAGTTGGCTGACTACTTAGGCAGTACTATATATCATGTCCATATACAGACTTGACATTTAATATGGAATATTTTTTTCGAAATAATTTTTTATCAGTTTTTTCCTATTTTGCTGACTGATAAATGAAAATAAGGATTAAAATCGTGTTTTAATAACTTTAAATTATCTCTTGGATGTCATTGTGACATCAGTTCATTAATGGAATTCGCCAGAGAAGCAAACAAAAACACGTTGCCTATTCTATGTCATACGACTCCCATTAAAAGAGATATTTTAGATCTCCATATTTTCCAAATTATCGTCTGTAAAAGGGTAATACGCTCCACAAAAGATCCTCATGTCAGTTGCTAGTCACGGTAATGGTCGTTGTTACGCCTGGCCTCTTCGTGGCTGTTGCCAGCGCTCTCAAGCGGCAAGGCATTTCTTGGGGGTAGGTTTTAAGAGTTCAATCTGGAATAGCATTCCAGGCATAGGTCTAAAATTGTCCAATCTGGTCCAGTTTTGTTGTAGGACATGTAGGCAGTTGATTGGTGAGTAATGGTCTACCGAAATATTGTCTATGTGGTTCAAATGTGGCGATTTTGATGACCAGGGTAGCTGCTCATTCCCTTGGTTCTGTAAGTTATCTGCTATTAAAAGTGCTCTGTGTGAACCT